ATTTGGGTTGGTTGCTTTTTAATACATGCTACAGAAAGTTTACAAAAGGAGGATGAGGACAATCAGGGCTCACCCCCTGAAACCCACTGACATCAAGTCAAATCTAACACATAGCAACCATATAGGGCAAGGCAGAACTGCTACTTTGAGTTCCAAGACTGCAACTCTTTACAGAAGTGAAAAGTCTCAGAACTACTGGCAGTTTCAAACTGCTGACCTTGTAGTTAGCACCCCAACACATAACCATTTGGACACCAGGGCTAGAGTTGTTATGTATTATTTCATCTAAATGGTAACCCCTACCTTTGCCTTGGAGGAGAATACGTTATTATTGTGGGCGATAGCAGTAACAAAGTTTCTAAGCCAGGAATAAATCCGACCTCGTTCAGAGAGCAGTGCTGAAACTGGCCGATTTGGAACAGACACCAATGGCAGGCAATGGCATATAAGGCGAGCCAGGTAAAGTGAGACCAGAGCGACAAAGGCTCTGAAATCTAGGATGAGAAATCTGAACTGTAATTGACAAGCATTGATGTGGAGGGAAAGACACTGTTTTGTTCTGTGCTACCGTGGCAATGCAGGCTGGTCCCTTGTCCAGTGTTCTACAACTGGCCCACTGATTTCCCATTACCCTGCCCATGTTATATACGCTCAGATCCACATCTATGACTTCTATGAAGACAGTATCTCTATTCAAGTTTCAACTAGTCCCCCATCTACAACTGCCTGTCAGGCAATTACTCTTCAAAGCTCTTCATCTGCCCTAAGCTGCTCACCCTATAAACATTTGCTGTGCATCTGCTGTGTGGCCTGCACAAACCAGAGAAAGAGAACTCTGTCCATCATTCAGAAAATCAGAGTGTGGAGTAGGCAGAAGCCAAGTGGAGAAACAAGCACAAGATTCTACTGCTAAATTAGAAGAATGATTGTGTTCCAGAGGAGCAGAGGAAACCCCTATCAGCTTGCAGATCAAGAAAAGACACAGAACAGCTCAGAGAAAGCATTGGTTCAGCAAGGTCTTGAAAGAAAAGAAGCACCAGAGGGAGAAGAAAAATAGGAGGATGAAAGCTAGCACAATCAAACTGTACAAGCTAGGCAGAGTGTGCTATCTGTAAATAGGTGAAGAGGTAAGCAAGGGCTAAGTCAACCTGAAGAACCACTGCCATTAAACCAATTCTGACTCCTTCCAAGAGCAGAAAACCTCATCTTTCTCCTGCATAGCAGTTGGTGGGGTTTGAACCAATGGCCTTGTAGTTAGTCCAACACGTCAAACATCACACCACCAAGGCTCCTTTCTATACATACAAGGGGCTTCAAAAGTTTTAAGCTCGTGTGTGTGTGTGTGTGTGTGTGTGTGTGTGTGTTTAGCTCTGGTGGCAGTGGGTTTAGTGTTGAGCTGCTAAGCTGCAGTTTGAACTCATCAGTCTCGCCTCCTGAGAAAGACAAGACAGTCAGCTTCAGTGAAGGTTTACAAAAACCTACTGGGTGCAGGTAGGGTTGCTGTACATAAATGATCATCTGGATTAAAATTATACTAGCAAGGAAAAAAAAGAACCCAGAAAATGTTCTACAATTGATTTGATTGTGGTAAAGATTATACAATACTTCTGGATATGACTGAACTGATTTATATGATACATGAATGAAGTTCCAATAAAACTGTTAGAGGAAAAAAAGAACCCAGTCAGTATGTTAAATTATTCATTCTCCTAAAGGTTAGAATATGTTACATTGTAATTTGTTATATCCTTTGAGTAGTTCTATTACATAGTCAATCCTAAGTGACTATGCATGCTAAGGGGAACCCCTGCTAAGGGGAACCCCAGTAGCACTATTGGGTAAGCATTGGGCTGCTAACCACAAGGTCAGTGGTTCAAACCCACCATACAATCCAAAGGAGAAAGGGCTATCTGCTCAGGTAAAGATTCACAGTCTCAGAAACTCTGTGGGTCAGAAGCAACTCCATGGCAGTTTTTATGTGGTCTAAGACAAGCCACTGTGAACAGCCTAGACCGAGAGGCAGAGAAGCCACAGGTTTGTTTCATTAAGCATCAGATAGTGATAGCTACCTAATTAGTGCGATCACTAAAGATATCCAAAATGCCAGTTAAACTAGAATTTGTTATCTTCAAATTGTCATACCAACGGCAACCACTGAAAGATATTCATAAAATTCTGAAGTATAAAATCTATAGACAAATCCAATATCATTCTTATTTCATTGAAAAATAATACGTGTCAGCTATGTAATTTAAGTTTCATGTTTATCTGTCTTTTGCCTTCCACAAAAATATTTAATGTAAATTATCTAGTATATGGAATAAAAAATACTCCCTACTCGTGACTTTAGAAAAGATAACCAACAACTTTTGTTTAGTAAATTAACTGTTACATCATTTAATCCTCCCAAAAGTTGTTTCTCAAGTAGAGATTTTTTACAGTATGTTATCGTGAGTAACAAAAAATATTTACCACTATTACTAAAGTTTTCCCCTTAGAATATATTTTAAATATTCCTTACTAAAAACTAATCTACAGTGTTGGAAGTCAGGATGCTGATTCTGTTGTTTCTTAAACTGGGTACTGATTACACAGGTTATTCTAGTTGTAAACACTGTTCAAGCTCATGCTTCTGATATGCATACTTTACTATGTATATGTTATACTCCAATAAAAAAGCTTTACCCCATCTAGAGCAAAGAAGAATGAAGAAAACCAAAGGATGAATGGCCCACGTGCACCAAAACTCCTCTAGCCTGAAACCAGTAAAACTAGATCAGGGATCCTTCACACTGGGGGCCAGTTCACTGTCCCTCAGACCCATTGGAGGGCTGGAATATAGTTTAAAAAAACAAACAAAAAACTATGATCAATTCCTATGCACACTGCACATATCTTATTTTGAAGTAAAAAAACAAAAGGGGGAAAAACACCCGGGCAGGCCGGATAAATGTCCTCGCCGGGCCTCATACCATACCACTCTACACAGGAACACAATGGAAGTTTCCAGTTAGAGTAGAAGAAAAATGCAGAAGACCAAAATTCAAAGCAATGAAGATATCAGATTCATTGATCTAACTTGGGACTGAAGCCACTATCAGAGGTAACCTTTCACCCAAATGTTTGATGGGCCTAAAAAATTTTTGAAAGAACAGTAAGACATGTGGAACTGTACACTCTGTAACAATCAACCATTAGAGACCAAAAGGGCAACATGTGTCCAAAAGCAAAGGTAAGCAAGCAGGGAGGCGCAAGAAGTGGGAACCCATTGGGACATGGGGGAGTGCTGACACATTATGGATATTGCAACAAATGTCACCACATAATTTGTGTATTCATTATTGAATGGAAAGCTAATTTGCGGTGCAATTTTCAACTAAACCATTTTTAAGCTTTAAAAAAATCATTTTAAAAATAAGGTCTCACTTGGAAAAATACAAACAAGTGAAACAACAGCAAAATGTGTCACTGAAGGCTGAGCTGAGCCCTCCTCCAGATGAGAAAAACTCTTCTAGGTACTAAAGCACTTCTGATTCACAGAAAGGGGGGAAAGCACTTCAAAGTTATGCTGTCATTTTCAACATATTCTTTTCATTGGCCTATTCCCCGACAACAGAAAACAGAATCTTCCATTTGCAATTTTCGGAACAAATTTCAGAAAGCATGCAATTGAACAGAATGGTGCGTTTGTGTTCTTCAGAACTAATCATTTTAAAGAAAAGTCGAACAGAAAGAAAACGAATAGGTTCTGTGTTGCACCAACTAAAACGGAAACAATTTTCAACTTTGTTCAATGGATTGATGAAGAAAAAAAAAGAATGCATCAGACTTCAGATAAGCTAAAGCCAGGTTAGTAAGGAAAGAGGACTAAGACCCCCTCAGGAGACAAAGTGTGTTTCTGTCTTTCAGCCCAAATTCTACTACTAATTAGACAGTTTCGGCAAATCAAACTTGGCAAGGAGCAGCGCCTGTCCACAGGAATGAATGAAATAAAATGCACGAAACACTAAACACAGCCTGCATGTGTGATCCACCCGATCACCAGCAAGAAGGCTTGGGAAGAAGACTTTTTTTCATTCACTTGCTGAATGAAGCGTTGACGCCCAGCAAATAAAAAAATATAAAGTTACTAGGAGCGATAAGCCCTTGTAACCTTACAACCGCTCTCTCCTTTTCTCTAATCCTACAACCTTAAAATTAAAGCCGGGCATTAAAATTCTCTCGCGGCGGAAGCAGTGGAATATATTCTAAACAGATCTTGAACCTCCCCTAAAATGCACTTTCACCTTTCACCTGCACAGCAGAGCCAAGGTGAGCCGCCCTGCACCCCACGGGAGGGAACCTTGCTCTCCAATATCACGAAACCGACTCAGCCTGGCAGGACGAAATGCCAGGGAGTTAACCAACCAACTCCAAAGGGGCAAACCTTTAGAAGGCAATTTTGCCAAGCGGATCGTGGACGGTTCGCAAGCATTCCCCTCACCGCTTTCACGAGCATTTTCAGAGAATCCAGTCCAACCTCATCCTACCAAGTAAGTAACTCAGACAAGAGCCAGCCGGGCGAGTCCTATCCGGATCCTCAAATCGCACATCCCCGTCCTCCGCCCAAATCCTGCACGGTCAGGAGATGAGATGGCAAAACTCAAACGCACCCAGAAAGTTGGTACAGAATGGATGCGGGCTGGGAAGGGGGTCGGGGTGGGGGGGGCCCACTGCACCCCTTTTCTGCCCCTCGACTAAAAGCAACACACAGGGCAGAGGAGCTGGAGGAAGACCTGTGGTCCGGGGGGAGAGTGAAGGTCGGGGTGAGCACCGGGCACGGGCGCCGCGGGAAGAGCCAGGCACCCTGACATCGGGGCCTGGCAGCGGCCGAGGCCGGCCGGCCCTCTCCCTTTGACCCGCGGGGCAAGGGACCCGCCGGCCGGGCGCGGGGCGGAGAGAGCGCGCGCGAGGAGCGCCGATCGCGCCCGGGAGGGCGACGCGGCCACAGGCCTTCTTACCGGTGCAGGCCGAGGGCGCGCCGCCGCTTGAGGAGCAGACAGAGCAGCAGCAGCGTGGCCCCCGCCAGCGAGGAGTTCCGCGTCGTCAGGTACTTGCTGAAGGCCGCCATGGCACCGCCGGGGCTGACGAGCCGGGCCAGGGGACGCGGCACTGACTCTCCGGGCGGAGCAAGCGCGGGGGTGACTGGGAGGAGAAGAGCGCGGGGAGAGAGGGCGGCGCCCGCCGGGCAGGACCGCCCCCTAGCGCGCCCCCGCGCCGTGCGCGCGCCGGAGCCCCCCGCGGACTTTGGCTCGGCGGGCACGCGCGCGGGAGCCGAGGAGGCCGGAACCGTTCCAGGGCGCGTTGTGCGCACGCGCCGACCCCCACGGCGTCGCCGGGAACGCGGGCACCCCCGCGCCTCTCAGTGGGCCTCCCTTTCCTCCTAGCTGTCCCCGCCTCACTCCTACCACCCACGAGGGACACACACACCCAGCCTTTCCCAAGAACTGGAAAAGCGGGCCGGGCCTGCCCGGGGGGCTTAGTGGGAGCAGCCTCTTTCCCTCCGTGTGACGGGCCGCTACCACCCTCTTAAAGGAGCCCCGGAGGAGGCCCGAGGTCGATAAATCTGATCCATGCCGAGGACAAAAAGAAAGCGGTTGGGAACTTCAAAGAGGTCTGGGCAGACAGGGAAAGGATGACTACAAATCAAGGATCTTTTTCCAAGCCACGGTTTTCCAAACCATAGCTTGGTAATCTCTAGGAAATCATGAAATCAGTGTGGTAGTTGGGGAACCACCATTTTTCTTTTTTTTATATGCCGAAATCAAACGTCTTAGGACCTAATAGAAAGCATCACATCATGAGGAGTTTTCCTTCCACTTGTTTAATATGAATATATCCGGAGCAGAGATCTAAGATGTATTTCTGTCTGTGGGTCCAGTCAAACAAAAAGTTTGAGAAGCACTGCTCTTTGCAAAGGGACATTTAGGAATAACAATGATACATTGTATTTATGCTGGCCTTACTCCCAGAATCAGAAGGCCATGACAGATGACAGCATTCTTCTCCTGTCTGGCCCCATGATACAGAACTTGTTACCCCTGCCATTTATCTGGCATCTGTACAGTAACTTAATGAATCCTGTTTTCAGTTAGAAGAATAGCAGGTATGTTGTTCAGAAAATGAGTTCATGAAATCTCATATGATACTAGTATATCCTTACACAGATTAGCCCACAAAATTGTTGGTTGTCTAATATATGACAACACAAGGACCAGATATAGTAATGACATGGGAAGGGTAGTTCATTTTCATTACTTTATTAACAATTATCAAAGGCTGCAGCCTACAATATGGATTACAGTAGAATGTAAAAAAAAATAAAATAAAACACCTGCAAATCCTCACATCTGGACCAATAGGTAACATCATGATAAAGAAATCATTGAAGTTGTCAAGGGTTTCATCTTGTTTGCATCCGTATCTATTGCACAAGGTGTTTAAAAACAAAGGTGCCACTTTGAGGACTAAGGTGCACCTGCCCCAAGCCATGTTGTTTTTATTTGCTTCATATGCGTCTGAAAGTTGGACATTGAATAAGGAAGACGGAGAAAGAATCCATGCATTTGAATTATGTTGTTGGCAAGGAATACTGAAAGTACCTGACCAGTCAAAAGAACCAACAAATCTGTCTGGGAAGAAGTACAGGCAGGATGCTTCTGGGAAGGGAAGATAGCAAGACTTCATCCCACGTACTTTGAACATGTTATGAGAAGCAGCCAGTCCCTGGAAATGGACATCATGCTTGGTAAAGTACAGGGTCAGTGAGCAGGAGGAAGACTTTGATGAAATGGATTGATATAGTAATTGCAACAGTGGGCTCAAATATAGCGATTGTGAGGACGGTGCCTTGTCAGTCAGTGTTTCATTCTGTTTCACATAGTGTCACTGTGAGTTCAAGTCCATTCAACACCTCGCAATAACATTAACAGTTACATCATTAGGTAAGCCTGGCACAAAGGGATAGAACCCCAGGGGTGTACTGGATTACCTATTTGCCTGCTAACTGCAAGGTCAGTGGTTTGAACCCACAACTGATCCTTGGGAGAAAGCTGAGGATGTCTGCTCCCATAAAGACTTACAGCCTCTTTACAACTCATTGTGGGAAGCATTAAGTCACTACCTCCAACAACTGAGAGTAGAAATTCCCTTAGAGCTAATATCCCTCTGCTGGGTAGATACCTGAAGAAATAAGAGCCAAAACGCAGACAGTCCCATGGTCATCACAACACTGTCCACAATAGCAAGAAGCTGGAAACAGCCCAAATGTAGATCAGTAGAAGAATGGATAAAGAAACTGTGTTACATACAATGAAATACCATGCATTTGTAAGTAACAATGACAAAACCACGAAACACGTCATGACGTGGATGAACCTGGAGAACATTATGCTGAGTGAAGTTAATCACAAAAAAAGTTAATCACAAAAGGACAAACGTTGTACTTCTTACAGTAACCCTACTGGACAGAGTAGAATACCTCTATGGGTTGCCAAGACTTGTAAATCTTTATGGGAGTAGAAAGCCTCATCCTTCTCAAATGGAGCAGCTGGTGGTTTCGAACTACTGACCTTGTGGTTATTAATCCAACACATAACCCATCATGCCACCAGGACTCCTAGACCACTACTCTAAGGATAGAAACCAAGGCAAAGAATTGCAGACCAAAGGGAACAAGCGTTGGTGGTTACCAAAGGAGGGTGGGAAGATGAGGCAAGGTTCTCAAAGGCGGACAGGTGCTGACTTGGGTGGAAGGGAGGATGAAGGTCCATCAAAGGGAGAAATCAGGTGAAGGGAAGTGTGGGATACAATAAGGGAGTGGGGGAGGATCAGGTGAATTGTTGAGTAGAGTTGATGGTCTGAAATGTAACCCTGATCCCCCACCTAATTCACAATGTTTTAAAAATGCACTAAACAATTATTGCCTCTGAAACTCTAGGGAGCAATTCTCTGTGTTCTAGGGTCACCATGAATTGGAATTGACTCGATGGCAATAAGTGGGTGGACACAAAGGATCTAAAATTGAAGAGATTCCTGAGTCTGGTAGAGAAGGAAACATGAAAATATATCAATGCTGGGGGTGGGAGAAGTACTGAAATTGCCAATTTAGAGTTATCAATAAGGCACATGAGAGCATAGAAAAGAAATGCTTAATTTGGTCTAGTGCTTTCAATCCAAACTTAAGAAAGAAGATGGCTTTGTAGCGGAATCCTAAATGATCAGAGCATGTGTCAGGACAAGGGGGAAATGACTTATACACTAATAAATGGCATAGAGATGTAAAAGTGTGTGGGAACCACTGGGGTGGAAGATCTGTATGTATCATGCTAGAATTTGGGACAGTGGAAGAAAGGCATACAGAATTAGCCCCACACATAGTTTATTTAAGAAATAGGTTTCAAAATTATCAGAGAAAAAGTAAGTATATGGGGGAGGAGGGAATGAGCTGATACCAAAGGCACAAGTAGAAAGAAAATGTTTTGAAAATGATGGATGGATGAATTGTGATAAGAGCCCCCAATAAAATGATTTTTTTAAAAAAGGTAAGTATGACCCCTAAGTAGTGCTCTTGTTCACGAAGCCTGGAATTCGTTCCACAAGCTTAAGTCAGTTTAGTAATTGATCAAGATGTCTGATGAAAGCCCACCAGGAACCAATTTATAATCCTATGAAGTAAAGCTTATTAACTTACTGCAGTAATGAACACCACACAGCACAGGAATGAAGGAAAATACCCCCCACCCCACCCCGCAAAAAAGGAAGAAAAGAAATGGAGGTCACTATAATTTTTATAGGAAGGAATTTGTGTAGGGAAGATCTACATGAAGGTGTTGGATAGGCTCAAAGCACATCAGATCTGATTGTAAAGTGACGAATATCAGACCTGGCATGAGAACACCCCTCATGCTCCTACTTCCTCAAACATCAAAAGTAAAAAGTTAATGTAGAAAATTGTGTCCCAAGCCCCTTATCTTCATGTCTGCCCTGTAAATTAAGGTGTCTCCGAGTTGAAGAACCTCCAGGCAAGCATGTGGTGTTCTGTACTCGATGATATGATTTCAGAAGATCACGTTTCTGATAGCTTAAAATAGGAGGTTCCATACTATGCATCGCTAAAAAGCGGTGATGAACGCATGAAGCATATCGTCGCATGGGGAGAACTGGAGGAAATTATGCTAAGTGAAGTAAGCCAAGCACAAAAGGACAAGTACAACATGAGTCTGCTGAGGTAAGTTTATTAAAAAAGAAAGAAAGAAAGAAAAGTGCAAAGGGGGCACAGGAAAAAAGCTACTGTATACAAACACTCCAGGGTGAGGTCCAGGTAGTATGGCAGAGGCCAGACCAAATCCAGGGGTACATATGGTAGCCAACTAAAATGGAGGTGAGGTGGGGGGGAAAGGGAGAAAAAAGATGTGTGTGTGTGGTCGATAGGGCACTGACCCACCAGTGGGAGGGTATTGTTTGTGTCTCCACAGGAAAAGAGGCACCAGACTTAAATCCAGTGTTCCGACATGCAAATGCAGCCTGCCGTCATGGAGAGGGGAGCCAGTGGAGGGGCCTGAGGGCTCCGGCCCCATACCAGCTATGAGCCACCCCTCCCCCCAGAAGAATTTACTTGAGAGCACAGCACTGAAGCTGCAGCTCCGGGAGAGGGACTTGTCTGATCAGAGCACACGGGAGCAAATGAAGGGGGAGGAAGAGAGAGTGGAGCACAGCCTGGCCCACCAGCCCTGGAGGAGGATATCCCTGCTCTGAGCAGCCAATGCTCAGAGTGGACCATATGGCTGATCCCACCATGAGACGCGACGTCCCTCGCTGTCCCATGACCCTACAGGGAACAACACTGGAGACTCTAAGTCAGGATTGGCCCGGACTGATCCTGCGACACCGAGGCAAAACACTAAGGGCGTGCTGCAGAGCAATGGGGGAGCAGAGCAGGGAGCTCCCGAGGGAGTGCAAAGGATAGACTCTGGGGCCAGAGCGTGACACCGTGGACCACCGTACTTGACTGGAGGACACGCCTAGAGGTCAAAAATCAGACCTTCATCTTACGTACAGGTTTTCCTTTCTTTTTAAAATTTTTTTTCTTTTTTAAAATTTATTCTTTTATGGGTC